TTCCTCATGAGCTGACCTATCACTGCCCCCGACCCATGGGGTCTTGCTAAATGAGGTCTAACCAGCACACTTCCCTCCCGCAAACTCTCCTCTTGACAGTGGCCATAGCTGCCCCTCCCCTTGACATATGCCACTCCCTCACTCTCCCACAAGATAAGCTAGACATGAACAGCATCTCTTCAGCATCTTCAGGCCAAAAAAATCTGAAACCATGACCCTCATTTTCAGTAATGTGAGCATTCAGCGCCCACTCACAACACTTAAAATCAGGCCACAAATCTGTTCCTCTTTACGCCCGCAGATGGTTGCTTCATCTCCCTACAGATGGTAAACTGAAGTCAAGGCAAGTGGCTTTCATGCAGAACTCCAAGACTACTATTTGACAAAATTTGTTACAAGCTGAGATGTAGTCTTTCAAGGAAAGACAGAAGGCTATACTTGTGGCAAAAATCCTTTATTAAACTACATTTTTAAATCCTTTTCACATTAGAAATTCTAAATGCAAATTACAAAACTGTATTTCAGTAAAAAATGAAAGTTACAGTTAACAGCAAAATTACAACTTTATACAGATAAAAAAAGCATTTTTTTATTTTAATTTAAAAATAGACATTTGTATCTTCCAAGGTACTGGTCCTAACAGCTGGTAGCTGCAATACTAGGTCTTTTCACATGCATATTTGCATATAGTCATTTAATCCTCTGCAGAGTTTACTTAGGTGAAATAGCACTGGGGTTTGTGTGGGCCTTTTTAAGAGAACATGGTACTTGGGAACTGTGGTAAGTTGACAAACTCTTCTTTTGTTAGGGTGCTGATACTCTATCCTCTCCTTGGCTCCACTAAGAGCATGATATTGTTCTGGAAATGTGAATTACATTTGAAGACATAAGCATCAGTAACATACAGTCTATGTATAACTTCTTATATTACATTTATGATGATCCCTCTTTGCCATTATCAGCAACTAAATTATTTTCTTGTCTACCCACCACATTTTGTGGCAAGATTAAGTAACAATGTGGCTACTTTTCACCTCCTCAAGTAAAACCTTAAGAGTGCATGTTCTGCTAAGCCTACGAGATCTTCCATGACATTCCACATATTCACAACAGTAATGTTCCAGATGTTCTAGTTCTAGTGATGTTCTAGGTTTTGACTAGAGCATCTGGACATTATTTAAATAGGAATTCCCAAGTCACAATGGTTTCCAACAGCCACAAAAAAAACGCAGTTAAACTTTGCCTGAGGTGTCCTTCAACAGGCCTACAAAACCATTAAGTTTAAATAAATTGTACCACATATTTTTAAAAGCAAAAGTCATTAAAGTGTTGTCAAGGTATCTTGAAACATTTTTTTTAAATATCACTTTTGCCCTACTACTTTCACAATCAACAAATATATTTTTAAACACATTACTCAGGAGAACAACTTTCTTCACTGCACCTCTGGGTCTTTGTTTTTTAATTTACTGTAAGATTATTCATCAATGCTAGCACAATATTAAATTTTGTATATATGTCTATACAAAAAAGATAAATTTTCTAAGGAAAAATTGGGATAAAGGTTAAAATGTTTTTCAAAAAAGAACCCAAAAGTCACGTATTAAAAGCTACCAGTCATCACAACCACGTACTGTTGAAGAATAGGATAAAAAGTGGTACACAAAATAGGTATTTTAACAGTCGCACGTTATTTCAGAGTGCTGGTGGCAATACTGTTAAGTGCTATTTTAATTAAAAGTATAAGATGATACAGAATTTACACAATACCTCAGGATTCTCACTGATGTAATTGCAAAAGACATCAGAAAGGCTAAAAGTTCTAAAACGTAACCTACTTTGAAATACCATCTTGAAACAATTATATTTGATGTAATTCAACCACTATACATTTTAAAACAGTCAAAGAAATACAAGAAGTCCAGTGGGTTTTTTTTCTGGACAGTTTGGCAAGTAGCTGAAGGCATGGAGATCCTTACTAATAAAAATCTACTTTCTTTCTCTCCGTGCACTCATCTTCTGCTCCATCTTGTATCCAGCTCAGCACAGCTGCTAAGCACATGCTCAAGATCATATGGAAGAAAAAGGGTAAGCTCATTATATTTTCTCCAAGTTGGAACTGCAATGCCTCACCCCGAGTTGCTGAAGCTGGTAAAGGCTCTGTCACTAACTTCAATACAGGCAAGATCAGTTCTGCCCATGTTAACGAATTTGAACCATCATCTTCCATTAAAGTTCAGGCTGTAATCAAACAACTTTTACCAGGTGAATAGTCAACCTATAAGCACATAGGGTATTCAGAGTACCTTAGTGAACCCCAACCTGTACGCAAAAGGACAATAAAGAGAGGGAGAGAGAAGCACTCTGCATTGCTCTTAAGCTATGTACTCCTCTGATGACTTTGAGAGACTGGAGAAAAACTTTCCTAGTAATGGGTGTAGCTGAGGTTTTGCCCTGAACATTTTTATGCATTTATCCAAACAGGAGTAAGAGATGAAAAAATAACATGGAAGTACAGTGAACCTCCTTTTCTGCAGAGTTCTAGCCCTCTTCCAGACTAAAAGTTTATACAATTTTTAGTCTTTAATCTCTTGTCCCCTTGATTGTGCATTTTTATCTTACAGTAGTGACTTTGGAAGAGGCTCAGGAAGTGGTGTCTTCAAGAATACCCCTGAGCACACTGGTTATGCATTTTCTGGGGAAGCAAGAGTCAAGCACAATCATCCATCATCCCCTTGATAAACCAGAAGCAGGTAAAAAGCTGTGTTTCTCATCTCCAGGGTACTTGTCAACAACTAGATTATGAGGTACAGATGGGCAAGACAACAATTTTTCCTGCTTGTCTGTTGAACTGCAATCTAAGCTGTCTTTGCCCATGTCAGGAAAGGTGTGAATATGCTGAGTGAATCAGACCCTCTCTCAAACCAAACAGATGTTTTGCCACTTCCCTGTTTACAAGCACATCGCTGTAGGGCTTGGGCACCCAACACCTCAACACACAACATTCTGAGCATACACTGGGACCTTTGCTGGGCAACTCAACCACCCGAGCCAAACAACAGGGACTCCACTTTAAAGACTTGCCCCAGAAAGCTGCATCTCCATTGGGTATAAACAGTAGCACCAACGAAAACATGTTCAGGAGCAGAATGAAGTTCCTTGGTCCAAAAGAAAGATCCTAAGTTCACTAAGGCAATTCCGGCATCTGCACCCTGGACTGCCTACAGTCTGAACTGTTGTCTCAAGACCAAGTGCCGAAGTGACATCTCAGTCCATTTAGGCACTGCCACAGAGGGTGGAGCACAGACTTCACTGCACAGGAGTTTGTGCAGTAAGAGAAACAGCCCTGCTAATGCTGTTTGTGGAGCAGACTTTTTTGTATTTCACCTACTGGTTACATGAGCAGCCCAGAGAAAAAGAAAAAGACGAAGGACATGATTCAGATGAACTAAGTACTTGCAAAAAATATTATGACTATTATCCCAGTAAAAGTCCATCTGATTAAATATTATTCAAGCTATTCTTCCACTTGAAATCACCATGAAAAGACAATTGTATCTGTTGAAGCATGACAAACTCATTTTTAAGTCTACATTGCATTCACTGTATATATATATTACAGTAAATACAGATATTCAGGAAACATCATATCTTGCAGTTTGTCAGCAACATATAGACACATTTTCAAGGGAAACCTATTTCTGTGCACAGCTTTTCTCACAGAAGTTCCTTGCTTATTACTACTCATGCACACAAATGGCAGAACTTGCACACATATATGGATTCAGACACAAATTCTGTGTGCATGCAGTTCCTGGATAAGAATTACTGCAAAAGTGGTTTAAAATTAACAAGCCCTCCCCTTAATCCTTAACCTATTAATATTGCTCCTAATACACAACTCGATACCTGTTCTGAAAAAGCCTTACAACAAAAATGTGAATGCCTTTCAACAGGCAAAGACATAAATACAAGTAGTAATGCATGCTAGAAGATATTTCTATTCAAAACATTTTTGATTGCTTACTGGAAACACTTGCCACAGTACTGATGTCTGTATTTAACTGGGGGGGGGGGGAGGGGTTTGGGTTTTTTTGTTGTTGTTTTGTTTTTTTAAACAGGTATTTCTAGATGCTGATGCAACACCACCACCAATGGGATAACTTCTGTATTCCCAGACTTTCCAGTTAGGCAATTACTACTGTAGTATTAGCAATCACTTTGATGTTAAAAATATATTTAAAATTTCTCACTGACACTTGTATTTTCTACAAGGAAATCACCGAATTTAATACACACAGAATGAAGACACGTCACTATTAGACACCTGTAAAGTGAATTGGTACTCAATTTGCTTCATTTAAAATGCCATAAAGGAAGAAATGCTTTTAACCCAGCAGATGTTGAGAAAAGTTAAGGGCATTTCCTGCATAAATACTGTAAAATTACAGTATTAGCTCTGTGTAAGTAGAGATTGAACTACAGTGTTGTATTTTTCCCTTTAATAGATGACAGTAAGTCTGCAAAATTACCAAACTCACAGCTGGTCTTAATGCACAGTCCTTTATATGCAACACCCATCAGTATCTGGAGAAGTTTAAAATGGAAAAAGGACAATAGAACTGGTCAACTCATCACAAAATAATCACTAAAAAAACATCAGGCTTTTGAATAAACCTGGAAAGATTTAGCACTCGGCTGTAACTGGATTTGAAATACCAGTAGTTGCCCAGTTCCCACCTCCCCTGTGCTCTTCTCAAGGGTTTAGCACAAAGTTCTGAATCACAAAATAACATCACACAAAGTACTATGTTTTAAATGCACAGAATCCACAGCAATTAAAATGTGTGAGGGTCAGACAACATATCCTGCATATACTGAGAAGACAGTTATATTTAAAAATTATACCTTCACTTCCCTGTAAAACATTATGTACTGCTCAGCAGAGTTCTCAATCTGCGTTTCTGAGACTTCAAATCCTGTGAGTGTCTTCTTTTTGCAGGTTCAAAAAAGGATCCGTTCCACACAAAAATTTTCTTGGAAACATACTGACAAAAACACTTGCTGTAAATTGAGACCATTTCTAATAAAATATCATCCCTTAAAACAGATTACAAAATACTATTGCAGTTGTTCAAAAAGTTTTTAGCTGTGATCTCACACCTCAGTTTCTATATTCCTCTTCTTGACAACCCTTCAATTCAGCATGACTTTCAGGCAGCCTGGTTTTATTTCTGTGAATCTGTAAACAAGAAAAGATGAAGCTTCAACATGAAAGCTACGTGCAATGCCACCTCCTTCAGCCCTCATCAAACATATGGGAAGTGGTAAGGTTTTCGGTCAAGTATACATGCAGGTGAGAGTCAGGAAATCAGCATCATGTCCTCTGGATGTGATAGTCAAGAAGGTTTTTACAGGGTCTGGAGAGGGGAAGAGCTGGAAACAAGCAGGAACTAAGGGGAAGATTTAAGGCAAAAAATATGCTGATATGCTGGCCAATATTCTTGGTTATATTAATTCTGCTCCTTTTCCTGCTCCCTTTTCATTCCCTCTTCCAAAACAAATTTTCTCCCTTGTCTTCCATACAAAGTAAGAAGGGAAGTCTTTGCTGTTTCTGAGTCCCACCATTACAGTCACCTTCACACATTCCTATAAAGAAAAAGCAGCAAACACACTGATGCAAACCCAGATGTGTTAAATTGCTGTCCCATGTAAGAAGCTAAGCATTAAAGCAGGTATTGGAGACCAATAAAAATCAGGATTAACAACTAAATGGAAATATGCAATTACACTATGTTAGATAAATTTAATTCACAGTGTTTTCATCTATCTCGGAGGAAAAGATATAACATTTCATAGGTGCCGTGTATAAAATGGCATTATGTCACACATTTGGACTGGATTACCAAATAGCAGACCTACTTTAACCTGAAACAGCAGACCTGCCTTGATCTATTTAGTAGTTTAACAGTATTCTAAAATTAACTTCAATTTTCAGTTAGTTAAATGTGGGTTAAAAAAAAAAAGTATCAGTAACACAAATCTTAACTCACCTGAAGTTGTGGCTTGTGAGGTATCTCATAGCTGCTGGTCTGATGCGAGCAACTCCTCCCTGACTATGGCTTCCTCTTCCCGTGATAACACAGAGATACGGTTTACCACCGGTCTGCTGGTACTCTGTTACAGCAGGGATTGTAACGGTTAAGATTTCCCTCAGCAGAGACTTGGCATTCAGTATGACCTTTCCATCCGTTCTGAAAACTCTCACTAGTGATTTAGAACCTCTCTTTCCCATCCTGGCTGTGCCTCTTGTACATAAACATAGCCATTTTCCCTCTCTTCTGAAAAAGATACTCTGAAAAAACAGAGTCAAACTTTTCAAATCTAGGTTGCCTGCAATATGCATGTTGTGATCATCGCAAAATCCTTCTAATTTCACAGCGCTTTACTGTTTCTATCATCTGATCCTCACTGGGAATTTATATCCTGGGATCTAAATTAAAATTGCAAAATTAAAAGGGGTGGGTGTAATTTAGTTACTTTTTAAGTGACACTTCTCCCTATTGTTTCATGTTTTATCTAAAAATAATGTGAGTAAAGAAATAACATTTTGCTGGATAATGGAAGGAGGAGGAAAATATAAATCTACACAGTTTTCAACATTTAAGTCACACTTATTTGGACTAACTTCTGGTATGCTGTGACACGTGGATCAATATATCAACATATTACATAACATTTATCAGGGCATCTAGCCCTGATAAGAAAAGAAACTGCTCTTCTCTCAGAGATCACAGCAATCTAGATTAACACTCTGAAAAAGAGTAAACCCACAAATTAAACTGGATTCTCACAACAAGCCAAGATTTGACAGCTCGAGATTACGAATTTATGTGACATGTCAACCGCCCTCTCTCTCTCTCTCTCTCTCTCTTACTTGGGTTTTACATTAGTCTACCATTAATTCTGCCAGCACTAAGTCCTCGGTATTGATCCCTTTCCCATGTATTCACACGGAAGTTTTTTTTCAGTTTAGGTGAATGGACTGAACAGAGAGCCCCTACCATTATTCCAGGACTCTTGATATAAGTGCAGCTCAAGAAATTTAGCTCTAAAAAGCACTAGGTTACAGCTTAAAGTATACAAGATCATTTTAGGAATAGCACTAGATAATGCAATTTAATTCTCTGATGTACACTGAAAGAAAATGATTATCCAAAGCCCTACTGAACAGTTCTGCTTCTGCTATGTGGAGTAGCTGTTTCCAAAGAATTGAGTTTGTGGAGTGGTACCTCGTGTAAGAAATATTTCTTATAAAAGCATTCCCAGTGTGCTTAAATTTATACAGTAAACTAATAATGCTGAAAATTTATCTCTCTACAGCAAGAACACTCATGAAGTACTTGAACACTCAACTGGGAGAAAAAGCAAGCCCTCAAGCAAAACTGCACAAAATGGCATTTATAAAGGGAGCAGCAGTATTCTGATCTCAAGAGATCCTGCTGGGAAACTGGTATGGAAGTTACCGAAAGATAGCTAAGATCACACACTTTCATGAAAAAGCTGAAGACAATGTAATCACTGTGGTTAGAATTCCAACATAATGATTTTTCTTTAAAGATTAAAAAAGTAACGTAGTTCCGACAAAGCAATGTGAAGTTGGGGAAAGTGGTGCACAGCAAGACAGAGAGGAAAATGCATCACTGCCATGTCAAAAAAACCAAAACCAATTCCATGTCATATATCATTTCTTAGCAGAAAATTAGGAGAATAACTTTTAGGGGGCAAGAAATAACAGCTTAATCCTACCTTCGCTTTTTTCTTGCAGCACTCTGGACAACTGATTCACTGCTTCATCCACATGGAGACCATGCAGATCCAACACATTCATAGGCAGCAAGGAGGTATTTACTTTCTCAAAGATTTGCACAGCAGCTGCATGGTTGGCTTCTTTCATCTTCTGCTCATGAAGGCGACCCTTTATTCATAAGCACAGCAACTATTACATGCCGAGACATAATGTAAGCTCCATGCTGGTGGTTCGTTTCAAAATGACAGTACTGGCAGGGTGCTTTTAGCTCACAGTTTGAAGCAGTAAAATTTATAATCCCAACAGAACTTGTAGAAGAGGCTCAGTGAGACCTACTCACAAGGAGATTTCATGAAATCTGTTTTTAAGAAACCACTCAAAGCTGGCACAAAGAAGAAATTATAACAAAAGCCTTACAAGGAGTGTGTGTGTGGGGGGAAGCCAGAAAAGGTACAAAACCATAAGGTCTTTACATAAGCTAAAAAGTTATATTCCATGCTGATTTTCAGATTTATTATCTTAACCATAGAATTTTTCTTTCTGCTAATATTTTGCTAAAAATTTAGTGAAACAATGTCAGAGAAAATGCCCAACAGCTCAGGAAAAACCTGCTGAGTGTTCTAGTTGAGGTTAATTCTTCTCAAAGCATTTCCTAAAAATCAGACAAGCCAAGGGCAAACACTTCTAGGTTGTTTTTTTTTCTTTTTAAATAGTTGCCTATTATCTATCCTTATATTTTTGACAAATCTTTTATGACTGACAAGGTCAATACAGTCCCTATTGGAATTAATGGCAAGGAGCAGTACAGGGCTATTGACATTACATGGTGAACAAGTAACAACTATTTCCTCTGAACCGTGCAGTGGCAACATCTGAGAGACTGAAGCACCAAATTATGTCTTCAGAGATCTGTAGGCACACTCTGAAAAGGAATGGAAGACTTGACTCCAGGTATTGGACTGAAAAGGGCTCAAGACAACAGAAGTGACAGCCTGTTCTTAAAATGGACCATCTGAAATGTATTACATTACAGACATCAGCCCCGTAACTCTCATTTGCAGAGGATTCCCAAGACAGGCTAACACCACCAGGCATCAAGTATTTTTCATGAATAAAGGTAGCTTAATGTGCTTTTTTATTGCCTAGAAGAAAATATGTAATACATTTCCCCACTGTACATGTTATGGCTAAGAACAAAAGAAAGACAGGACTTGAAATTAGACTTCTATTTAAAATTACACAGACGTACGTTTAGAATCTCTCCAAACTTCAAGAATTTATAAACCAAGAACATAAACTGTTCATTATGAAGACCAATAATCAGTATTTCCTACATGCATAGTAACAATCTAAACATTTAGAGTGATGTTATGCCAATTGCATGAAAGCTTTTTTAAGATAATAAGCAAATTCAAGTGATTCATTATTATATTTTTGTTCTGTCATAATGCAACTCGTAGTTAAAATTAAATGGTTCTATAACGTGAATTCTTAACAATTTTTATATGCTATTACATCAGAGAAAAGCTACAGCCTTTGAAGATATTTGTAACAATTTTTTTTTTAGAATGGTGTGAATCAATGGTCTCATGTGAAGGCACCAAGAAGCCAATGTACGGAACATTTCGATGTCCCAAGCCTATCAGTACTTAAAAGTGGAGATTCCTCACTGTTGGATACTTCTAAGATTTGGCTGGACAGGGTGCTTGAACATCTAGTCCAGGTCATGCTTTGTCCAGAAAGGTAGGACCGGATGATCCTGGTATGCTATGATTACAAGAACAGTTGATACTTACAATCAAGAATATGATCAACAACAACAACGATCAACCGTTATCAAACTGGTATATACGAAGAAATCTGCTTGAATCAAGACCAGAGAGCCCGTGCTCCAAGGCCAGAGCACGCAAGACTTAGCAGCAGCAGATTTACATTCTAAAACCAGATGGATAGCAAAAACCATGGCATACTACACCTCGTTTATCCCAACCCAAGACACACTGTAGCCATAAAGATAGTCAGAACAAAGAAGCAAAGACGGCAGGCCCAATCTTGCCCAGGATCTGTGGCAGGTGAAGCAAGCAAGATTCTGAGGCAGAAGATCACATCTTAATATCTGTCCTACTTTTAATAGCTGTCCTTTTGTCATGGTTTAAGCCCAGCATTTTAATACTCCTAGAAAGTACAGAAAATACCTAAAAACAGTTCATCACCAATAAAGAGGAACCCAAGGGACAAGTGAAGGATTTGAAAACTGCTGTTTGTTGCAGGCCATGTTACACATGAGTGAACCTGGCCAGACCACATGGACAAAATCTTGGTGCTTGCAAGTATTTGGATGTGAGGATGCAATTTATGAGCAAACAAGTATGTGTGACTGAGCGCTAAATACCATCTTTCACAAGGTCTTGCACTGAATTTGCTTACATCAGCTTCCTGTATCAGTATCATTACTAGTGAAAGAGAGTTTACTTGTAAGGTGATTCTCAATACAACACCTACATAGGAAACAGTAATTGAGCAAATTTATCAACTCTAGTAGGCACAATGCTTTTCTTATAACTTCCAATTCAGCATTTAAGTACCTCTACAAATTCAGGCAAAAAGCACAATGTTTACATTTACCTGATGAGCATAAAATGCTGCCACAGACTTCATACCCATGTGATGGGCCTCCCCAGCCTTTTTCAAACATTCCTGTCTCTTTTGCTGGTGACAAAAAGCTTCTGCTCTCAAATCATCGTATTGTGGATACTCAATTTTTTGAAGTATTTCACTCAAAGGTTCATCCTCTTCCTTATTTTTTTTTGCCTGTAGGAATTTGCAGTGTTGAGGCCAAGTATGCACTGTCAGGTGTTTTCATTAACATAGACTTCGGTATGTTTGTAACTACTATTAAAAAAACCCCAACCAAACAAAAATACCTTCTTCTCCCGGTTCTTTGCAGCACCGCAGGAAGAAACCATGTCATTTTGATGAACGCTTTCTTGAGCTATAACTGTTTTTACAGGATCTGCCTCCAGAACACAGTTCAGAAACTGTTCGGTTTGTTCTAAAGAGTAGCTGTGAAGGATAAGCGAAATCCGTGACTTTACAAATCTATTAATAACTGCTACATTTATTAAAATACATATTATAAACCTTGATATTGTTACAGAAATAGATTACAATGGAAATAAAGCACTGGAATGGAATTTGCCACCTCGCTACAAAAAGGCTTGCAGGCTCACTGTACTGCATTACTGGCACCAACACACATGCAGTCTTCCTTGACCGAAATGTAATCATGGGGCACTTGAATATTAAAAGAACAGTGAAATACTAAAGTAAATTGCATCCTACCTTAATCAAACAGACATTAGTTTAGAAGTAAACACTGCTTTTTGGGCTGGATAAGTTACTTCATCTTAAATCTTCTCTGGTCAGGGATAGATAGTACAAACTAGTTTAAAACTAGCTCAGTTTTCTGAAACCATTTAAGCAGGAAAATCCTTGTATTTCCAGTCAAACTTTGGTAGTAATTTAATGAAATGAGAACAGGACATAAGTTGCCATCAGATTTCTAATAAGCCCTCTTTCTTCTTTATTCTTCCTGCTGTTTATTAAGCAGACAAGAAGACTGATCAAAAGTAAAGATAGATTTTTGGAAAGTCAACGTTACGAAGAGAATTTAGAATGTGAAAAACAAGAGATGGTGAAAAGCTTAAGCTACAGAAATGGATGAAGGACGTATTTTAAACATCCCACAAGGAAAGGATTTGGTAACAACATGGACAAGCAGAAAGACTGACAAGTATGCATGCAAACCCATATGCAGAGATGTTCAACTGGCCAAGGATGAAAAAAGAAGTTTCTCTTGAAAGAAAGTTCAGTTCTCACAGCTTGGATTTAACAAGGTAGCCACATACCCCAGAAATATAACACAGAAGAGAGAATGTCATCAGGAAGAGATTTGAGAAATGGCTCATTTCTTCAGAGCTGCTGTAGTAACCAGAAGAGTACTCACAGCTAACATCAAGTGATGGTAGTTCTCCTCTTAGGCAGATCCCATTTCCTGTGAATCCACTATTACTACCTCCACTAATTCCTTCCACTTGATTTAAACCTCAGCTCCCCAGCAAATATGCAGTTCCACTGACATTCAGTCAGAGGTCAACACCCAGAGACATTCTTCTCCCAAGGAAAGAAACTGTTTACTCCCCCATAAAAGAAACAAGGCTACACATAGAGTTTTTATGTGCTTTTTACTTTAGAGATAAGCTAGTTTTGCTTTTATGTGTATCTGCAAAAGTGTGCTAGTTTGGAAAAAGCCATTCTTCAGCAATATCTTAACTCCTAATATTTAAGACGGTAACTGTGCAATACAGAGCGTTACCAAGCACCGTTTTTACACAGAACTTAAAGGATTTCTTACTTGTTGTCCTTGAAGATATCCATTAAGAAATCTTGACTAATAGTTGGAAACATCTCAAAAAGTTGCTTCTCCTTTAGTTTAGCAGCACAGTCTTTTCTAGCCATACAAGGAACACGATTCTACCCATAAGACAAAGGAAAAATATTAAAAGTTCTTGATTAGAACAAAATACAGTAACAGAGGAGCCAATCTAACTTGGTTGTTATTTAAGATTTCAAAAAAATACCTACGCAGTAGTTATGCACCCACAGCAAAGACAACATGCCAATATCAGCTGCGATACTGACTTGATGAGAATAAAGTAGGGACAGGTGAGTTGTACTGCATTGTACTGTATGTTGTATTATATTATATTGTACAGTACTTTGCAGTCATTTGAAGTAACACAGCTGGAGCTCTCTCATAATGGACAAAGCAAAAGGAGGAGTTTTTAGGAGGAATTTAAATTCTGGAATACATTCCCTGCTAGTCTATCTAGTCCAGTGGTAAGCTTGCACAAAGTCCACTATCTATACTGAGGGCCTGGGGTGGAAACAACATCTTATTATTAAACCGTGTAAACAGATTTGTTTTGGTGTATCTGAAGCTGTATTGTAATAAATACTCATAGTGTGAAGTCATGCTGAGAAGAAAACCATAATTATAGCCCAGAATAAATCAGACTGATCATTCCAGCACTCAGATTTGAAAGTGGTCAGAACAAAGCCAAGCTCCACGAATCCAAATAGTAAATAAAGCTGTGAGCATTATTATCAGTAAGCCACAGTTGTTATTATCAGTTAAGCAGTTCAGAGAAAGAATCCACAAGCCATTCTTTCAAAGGATCCAACTTCCTATACCAGTTCGAACAAAGCTCCTCTTTTTTAGGACAGCTACTTATCAGACGGTAACAAACAAGAATGCCTGTTCCAAGCAGCTGCCGGGCAGTAGAGGGCATATTACACACAGGCCAACGAGCCAGGGTATGGGAACTGTGTGGAAAATACAGAATTATCCAAAATCTTTTGCAAGATTACTCTTTTCTGACACGTGGGTACAGAAACCTATTTGAGGTTAACCTCACGTACTTCTTTTAATGTCTCATCCATTAGGAATGTTGTGGGTTCTCCTTACAAAAAAATATTAAAATCAATCCAATCCACTTCTAAGCAAAAAAGGCAGAGAGCTAATTAAGAACAATTAAGAACTTTTTTTGATATTGCTTTACCAATAAGTGTGGGAATTCACACTGGTCTTTGGGTTTAGGTGAGCAATCAGAAAAACAATTCAACCAAACTCAAATGCTAACCTGGAGAGTGAAATGCACCGTCATCTGTTTGTGAAACAACCAAAATGTTAAAATGAGAATTTTTAAAAGGGAAACATCTACCACAAACAAACTCCTCTCACTGTAATCAACAATCCGGATTGGCATGCATTTGTCTCAGGCTGAAATCAGCAGCACAAAGATGAGTCACCAGATAAGACATACTCTGGTTCATTAATAGTAACAAATTGAAACTGCATTAAAAATGGTGCTATCCATACCAGGTCCTGTTTCTCCTGCATAGCTATTTCTTCAGAAATTATTTGTCTGAGAGAAACTTTCTGAATCTGAGCATTCCAATGATCCATAAAAGGAAAAACGTCTGATGTTGCTGGGTTTTTAGTCTGTATGTTGTTAGATGAGCCAGATACGAAGCTCATTTTTTTCTTCTGTATTTTACTGTCTGCAGCCTGAGATAACAGCGTTTCTGAGTCATCTGTATCTATCTGCTGAATCACAGTAGGACCTTCACAGCAATAAAAATGAGAAGACAAATAAAACAGTTATTAGCTTATTTATACACACAAAGCCAAAATAATTAAGTTTTTCAACCTAGAGGGATTGGGTTTTGTTAAAACATTAATGCTAAAACAGAAAGCAGTGCATTGTTTTCACCTTCCTCATTCCATTTTCTGAAGACTGTCTGATCATCTAGTTTGTAAAACAAAAGCAAAACCACCAGACTCCCTCACCAAATTTTCAAGTACCAAGACATACATTACAGCTGTTAACTACCCTCCACACCCACTAAAGTGGGGAGGTTGGTTTGCTTTTATAAGTGACTTACTGACTCATGTGTTTACATGTTTACCTGCCTGTCCTCTACAGCTCAAGGACAAATGCTTAACAATATGTCAACTTACACTTCTAGAAGTTAATGCAAGCAGTACTGTTTGGTCATTCCAAATAGTGGAGAGTTTGTACCCACATTGCAATCCAAGTCTCCACCCAGACCCCATGCAAGAGTACTGGGTTCTGCTGTAGGGGGACATTTCTTCTGGGACCTGAATGAAAACTAGATTGCCAGAGATCTTGACTTTGAACAAGGCATACATGTTCATGCTACAATCAATTCCTCTGACGAAGACAACATGTGAACAATGTTGTATTATAGAATCATAGAATGGTTTGGGTTGGAAAGGACCTTAAGATCATCTAGTTCCAACCCCCCTGCCATGAGCAGGGACACCTCGCACTAAACCGTGTTTCCCAAGACTCTGTCCAACCTGGCCTTGAACACTGCCAGGGATGGAGCATTCACAACTTCCTTGGGCAACCCATTCCAGTGCCTCACCACCCTCACTGTGAAGAACTTCCTCCCTATAGCTAATCTAAACTTCCCCTGTTTAATGTATTTCTGACCTTCTTTCCCTCACCTACAGGAATCTCACTCTGCTAGTAATTCTCTGGCTGCACCTTTTCTTGCTTACAGAACAGAATTCTGTAGGATTACAGAAGTCCTACCAAACAGCCGTGTGATCCAGGCAGAGCTTCTTTTTAAGTTCTCTGAAGTACACAAAATGATAGGCTTTTTGCTTGCATTTACCTAGGACTAGTGATTCTGCTTATAATTAACTTCCTTTCCCCCCCACTCCACTGTAAGAGAACGGTAAATGGAACCCAGAGCAATAAATAAAAGCATAGCTTAATAAATGAACCCATAATTTTTGCAACAGTTAAAATATTTGCAAACTTACTGAAGTTCCAAAGAATTAAATATTTTTATAATGAGAATTAAGTATTTCTACAACTAAGAGAAATACATCACTTACCTTCTGCAGACAATTTACATGATTCATCTCTCCTCCGACGCTTCTAAATAAAAACAGTAAACCCATGAATGTTAGAAGCAAGCTATAAATTTTGCAGTGAAACTTTGCAAGTGTTAGCTTCTAAGTAAACCAGCTTCGAAATAATGTCTCACAGTATTTCTCAAAGATTGGATATTTTAAGAAAAATTATTATGAAGTTTAAAAGATAGAACTATCTTTCCAAAAACATAGCAAGCAAGATGAACATGCCCCACTGCTAAGGTTTCATAACCTTAATTAAATAAACCAAACAAAAATTTTGCCAAAAAGCATTCAGTTTCATAAGGCTATGAAGGAAGGGAGGTTAGAGAACTCTTCTCAATTAATGTACATGGAAATGTTTCGTATATGTTATTATTCATAGAGGAACTCTTCTTACATGTCAAAACCCCAGAAATTATTTTTGGCCAGCAGAATTTTTGATCAATCTTGTGGTGAAACTGTGCATTATGATCCTTCTTTTTTAAGAACCTTGGCTTCATGATGAGGCACTCATGACATGCAGTTTCTCCCTCCCTTAAACTGTCTTAAACAGCTCTGATGATTACAACATGACAAGCTGATATACTCCACATATTTTCAAACTACCACTGTATTTTATCATTGTTTTTACAAAGATACTTCTATCTTACACATTTAGACCAACACATAGAGAGACAAACAGTCTGACCCAGCATAAGCATGCCACACCACATCATGAGCAAGATATCTACTAACCAGAACAGATTCTTTCCATTTTTCATGAATCACTTTGGCCAAATTCAGATCAATATGAACCACACAATCCTCAACAGTTAGTGATCCTTATGGAAGAAAGAAAATACATTTGTTAAAGCGTTCTATAAAAACTTATCTAAGCAATTAAAATGCTTGTTATTTTGAATTCTGGAGATTCTGCACAAACTGTCATACCCCAAAAAACCCTCAGCAACTGCCAAGATAAAATAAATAAATAGATAAATAAATATATTAAGTATTCCACACGGAATCTGTTATCTGTGGTCAAAAACTGACAGGGTAGGAAAAACCAAGTTAACATGAATTGTATGTTACTACATCTTCCTTCCTTTTTTCCATTTTTCTATCAGAACCTTCTTTTACAAAGCCACTGGTAATTTATAACCACAGTTTAATTCATGAAACTGTGATTCCCTCTGTTTTATTGTAATCCACATGCAACTGCTTTTATGGAACACAACATACTCGCCACTGTCCAACAGCAGTCACAAGCCTCCTTTCACACACACAAACTCACAGAAGCAAACTCCAAGTAAGCCCTCTAATTCTAAAGGAAATAGCAGGAATTATCATGGTATCATGATACTTCTTTCATTTCTGATAATGTTTCTCACACTTTCAAAACTAAAAAGGCATTATAAGGCATAATTCAGACACACCACCTTTCTGCTACCAAAAATCTCTTTTTTTTTTTTTTTGGAGGAGGAGGAATGGAAGGCAAAGAGACCAGCAGTCAAACGACCAATAAATCAGGTATCCCGGGTTTCACATCAAGTAATCTTCAGGAGAAAAAGAGAAAGAAGAAAGAAAAAAAGAAGGGGAAGGGGGGAAGAGGAGAGAACAATCAAGCTATGTATTCCTTGTGTTTTCTTCCTTTTTCTATCAGTCTTTAACTTCTGTGATGCATGTCCAAGCTGCTTACAGCTTCTTTCATCATAGTCTCTCAGCAGACTAGTCTGTTTTCATCTTTTACATCTTTTTAAGTATAGCTGCCCTTTATCTTCTCTCTAAACATCTTGTCCTTCCCCAGTTCAACTGATGCCTAAAGCTTTCTTTTTTTTTCCTAGCCAGTCACAATTTGCATCTTCCTCATCATATTAATATCCCTTCAGAATCTGAATATAGGCTCAAAGCCTGTTGCTCAAAATGCAAATAAGCCAATACATTTTCTTATGATTTTAAAGTACGTGCATGTACAAAAAGACAAAGACAGAAGGCAGCACTGCTGCATCTATATTTTATGCCACACTTAGTTCAGTTCCATTTTTGGATTAACAGCAGCAAAGAACAGTATCATAAGGCATTGTGCAAATCCATTCCCTAAAAACCAAGCATGAAGGGAAAAAAGCATAGGCAAACGAAGAAAGGTTTTCTCACCCGAACTGAGGGGTTTTGTTGTTTGGATTTGGGTTTTTTTTTACATAAAAATATGGATACAATTATGCTCATACCTGCATCAATGCCAACAGGCCCAAATATTTCTTTCAATTGGAGTGCCAGTTCAGGAGGTAATGTTAGTTCTAAGCAATCTATATTGAAGGCTGCACGTGATGCTGGTATAGGACTTTGTATCTTGGCTCTGGCCTCATCCCTGCTTTGAGTTTCAATTTCCTCTTTACCACGTATCTCTCCGGAACTCCCCTGGGTTTCCAGTTCTTCATCATTCCTAGGACTGACCAGAGGTGCATGATCCACTTCCAGTAACGAAGCCATCACTTTGGAATTCTCTGCATTGCTTTCTGAAGGGTTACTCCTGCTCTCTGTATTTAATTCAAATTTCAAATTGGTAGAAGTTGTGTTAGGACCATGAGGCAGAGTCATGGGTACACAGAAACTGGCATCAAGTTGTGAGACTAATGGCTTATTTATATGTTCTTCAACAGGACTCTCAGCTTCTACCTTCTCCTTTCCTGAAACAAATGGCTCAACGATACCTGCTGCTGAGCTGCCTGCATCAGTTCCAGGGGCTGCATCCTCACAGTTCTTCAGTTCTGACGAATCCTTCAACGAGGTAGCAGTCAATGCGTCAGACACATCAACATCTGTCACAGTTGCCTTGGCAGCTCGACTTTCTGCAATGCTGAGCGATGAGTTCTTATCTTCTGAAGGCTCAGAGATATCAATAGCCCCATTTATTTGCAACATTTGTTCACAGTCCTTAAGATTCTCACCATAGTTTGTACTTGCCTTGAAATCAAGGTCTGCAACAACTGGCTCAGCTTCTCTTACTTGAAAGCATTCGATGCCAACATCTTTGCGTAACTTCTCATCAGAGTCTAAGAGCAGACCTGTGGCCCAGTCTATGTCTTTATTACATCTTTCATACAGATCTTTCACAGCTTCAAATGAAACAGAATCAAAGAGCTTACATAGCATATTTAGCTTTTCAGTCTCATCAATATTGATAAGCTCACTTTCTTCCACAAATGTACTTTTATCATACATAACTCGATAGGGAATTTTTTCCTGAGAATCTGAAACAGTATCTACATCTTTGGGTTTGAAGCCATCTAGTCTGCCATGCAATACTTTGGTAGTCTCAGGAAAAAGCATTTTCTTTTCTAACCTCCACAGGAGAGCAAAGTCCTGTGATTCAGTCTGTGAATGGCTACTTTTTTGACTACATGAGCATGCATCCTGTTTCTCTTCTACATTAAGCATTGACAAATATTCCTCTTCTTTGGCATGGGACAAATTGTTATTTGTGAAAGTGAGGGCTAATTTGTGATGTTTCCTCATTCTCTTATTTTGCTGGGTTTTTTTCTCACCTACTGTTTCACTAGCCTCTGTTTCAGGTGGGTGCATATGCAAAGTCTCTGTATCTGGTTGCTCTGCAATGTTCACAGGCGTCCCATGAAGCACATCTACAGTCTCGAGAGCATTTCTGTTAATGTCACCTTCAGCAATTCTATCTTCATTGGACTGATTCAGATTTGTCTTTCTCATTCTCCTTGACCTTTGCTGTCTCTGTTCTAATGAGCCTGCAACAGGCCAATGTCCTATCATTTGCAACTGCGGTGTAATTTCATCTGAACTAACAGAGAAACAGCCAGAGGCTAGATTTTCTTTCTCATGTCCTTTTTCAAAAGTAAAGGTCCCAGGCAGGCCTGCTTGCTCTTTACCTAACTCAAGATTCTGTTGACTGGGAGTTTTACCTTCCTTATCGCTCTTTAGAGAAGATTTTTCTAGTCTTCTAGCTCTTTTGATTCTCTGTCCCATTGTTTGTTCTACAGGCCAGTCACCCAGAAAGTTCAGTAGTTCTGGTTTTCCTGACGTGTCAAAAGCTGAACTGCTTGGTTCTGCTGTGTTACTACTTTCTGTTGATTTTGGTTCTGTACGTATTTGGCCAGATTGTTCAACTTCAGTTTGAACTTCGCGAATGTTGTTATCACTGTGCTCCTCAACTCTTCCTGTATGCAAGGACACAGACTCTTCAGTCACGGTCACATCAATCTCATCTTTTTCTGTTTCAGTACTTTTTCCTAGTTTTTCTCCCTTTTCTTCTTTCTTCTCCAAGGGCAGTTCTTTTTCTACACAATCTGACAAATAAACATCCAAGTCATCTTGAACAGTGCTGTTCTCAGAAGTGCATTCCACTGAGTTATTTTCAATTTCTTTTTCCTCTTTCTGAAGATGTTCAGGATCACAGTTACTTTCTAATGTTAGAGAAGTACTGGGAAAAGTTTTATCATCTTCAGCTAATTCAAGAGGCCTCAAATCTGAAGCAAAAGGTTCTTCCTTTACGTCAGAATGTAATGTTCTGAAAGACAAATGCGAATGAAAGATAAACCCATTTCAAACCTCCTTTAAGCACTTGTGCACATTTTTAGTTTTGGCTTGACTATTCAATATTTTCAAATTACAGACCAGAAACCACCTTTTAGGACACTAATCATCCAGCTGGAGATCTCTAATGAGAGGAAAGCAAATTTAAGATGACTTAGTCCTAACCTCAACACTCCTTTATAAAAAAGGAGCTAAGCAATGCAGAACTTCCCTTGCTAAGTACCCCTTTCTTACTTCAGCATGGGGTTAAGAGTACTTTCTTAAAAGTCTGTTTTCCCCATTCCCAGCATTCAGTTATGTACTGAAGCACACTGGCTCATGTTCAGTGGCTGTCAGTCAGCATCCCCAGGTCCTTTTCCGCCAAGCAGCTTTCCAGCCACTCCTCCCCAAGCCTGGAGCGTTGCCTGGGGTTGTTGTGGCCCAAGTGCAGGACCTGGCACTTTGCCTTGTTGAACCTCATACCACTGGTCACAGCACATCAATCCAGACTGTTCAGATCCCTCTGCAGAGCCTCTCTATCCTCCAGCAGATCAACACTCCCACCCAACCTGGTGTTGTCTGCAAATTTACTGAGGGTGCACTCGATCCCCTCATCCCGATCACCAATGAAGAAGTTAAACAACATTGGCCCTAACACCGAGCCCTGAGGGACGCCGCTAGTGACCGGTCACCAACTAGTTGTGACACCATTTACCACCACTCTCTGGACTCTGCCATCCAACCAGATTCCCACCCAGTGAAGAATACACCCATCCAGGCCATGAGCAGCCAGTTTATCCAGGAGAATGCTGTGGCAGCCACTGTTAAATGCTTTACTTAAATCCAAACAGACAATGTCCACAGCCGCTCCCTCATCAGCCAGGCAGGTCATCTTATCGTAGGAGATCACGTTGGTCAAGCAGGACCTGCCCTTCATGAAC